CAAGTAAAATCACATCATCTCTCTAACCTTACTCATTAACTACTTAAAGACTATGCTTTGCAAGTAAAACTTTCTAATACTTTTGACAGTGCATTTATTAAAATTGGCAGTCGAAGCATCCTATGGTACATACAACCTTCCACATCATAACATCCGTTAAAGCCCAGCACCAAAAAGCCTATGTTCTCTTGCTTATAGATTGGTGCAAGTCTGGTGTTCAAGGCCAATTCAAGACCATGACTGTACAGCTTCCTTTAAAATGTTCGTTTGCAAAGGCTGCCTTGTTCCCAGAGCAGATCTCCCTCCATATGTTCCACGGATAGACTTTGCCAAGATAATGATGAGTTTTTAATTTAAAGATAAACAACTCTCCCACTGCAAGCAAATAAATCCTTGGCACCATTCTCTCAATTCACTCCCCAGGAGTACTAATGCTGCCTCACACAGGCAGGATCTTTTGCCCACTGGGTTCATTCTAAATAATTCAAGATAAATCACTAGGAGCTTGGTTCCTCTAACAGTTTTAAGGGATTTTTAAAAAGACAAAGCATGCCCCATGTTGAGAGGGAAGAAGGACAGAGCAACCTAACATCCACTGTCTGTAAATATCAGATTTCTGTTTTTAAAATGGTATGCCACATTTGCATTATTCACAGTTTGCTATACCGTGGAGAATTTCATCTCTGTTATGGATTGCTGCTTCTGAAGAAAGAATCGGTAACAGAAGAGTGTAAGCAATTGCTGTTCTAGCTGAAACTCATTTCAGTAACTTGGCTGATGCCTTGGGAACACAGCATGTTCAGTATTATCTGACCTAAAACTGTGGTATAGATACTAAGATAATGCATTTTATAGTTGTTCTTATAGCAGTGACCTGTTTTCCTAAATCTGAGTAAATGAAGAAAAATACATATTCATCAAATATTTTAAACCTACAGCAATGTTATACCATAGGACTTCAATTTGATTAATTTTCCAGGTAAGTTTACACTGTAAACTAATTCATGAAACAGTAACTGAGCTAGCAGCATTACCAATAAATGTTGCCCCATTCCCTTTCTAGGTAAACCCTGTCCTTTCTCTTCCTCTGACTTCCAAGAGTAGTTGCTTGTGAGGCCAGCAGGTCAAGACAAGACCTTCAACTGAACCATCTCAAAGCTGCTTTCTCTGATTTATGCAGAGAATGTGGGTTTTCTAAGTATATTAGGAAAACTATATAACATCAGGAGTTGGGATAAAGAGTCCCAGGAATCATTTGCTTCCTGCACAGAATTCAAAAAGCTAAAGGAATAATTTGTACAAGTGAAAAATGAAATGCTATGGCATATGGAAAAGGACTTAGACAAAACGGATACTTCTCCAATCACCAGGTCAGTTGCACTCACCTTCCTCACCTGCTGGCTTCTCCCAGAGGTGTGCACTGTTCTTGCCTTGTTTAAATGTTGCCTTTTAAGATGCAGTCTTTGAAATTACTACCTTATTTAAAGTAACAACCTATTGTTGCCATTTTTATTGCCCAGTCTAATGTTGTCACCGCACCCTGTTATCTCTGGCAATTACCTAGCACTGGATTCTTTGTCTCTTTTTCCAACCTGTGCACTGGACACCTCTGACATCTATTCCCCCTCACTAGGATGCATTTCTATTGAGGTAGAGATTTTTCTTCTTCTTTTTTCCCTCCCACTCCACCCTTACCACCTCCAGCTCTAGACCTGACATCTAGAAACTGCTTGCCAACTAGGGAAAATCAAGAAGTATTTGCTGAAAGAGGGAATGATTGAAAACACTTCACTATAATTATTTAAATCTTTATTGCATTCTTAATAGTCTCTATCAAAAAGAAAAAGAAGGAAGAAAGGAAGGAAAGGAGAGATGGAGGAAAGAGGAGAAATTATAATGATTACAAATAGTTTGAGGGCTTCTCAGTTACAGTTGGGTAGTATAACTTTTGAATAACGATAAAGACTCTGTACTTACACATTGGAAGGGAGGTGGAAATTTCCAAAGTGGAGAAATATGAAAGAATGTGAAAAGTATATGTTCCTTTTGATTTCATGGTTATGATTTTTCAAATTTAGAATGTAAGCTCAATTGACTTGCCCTCAATTAAAATACAGAAAAAATTAGCAGAAAAAAAACCAAGGAAGATGTTAATGTCTGTTCACTAACAGAAAACAAGCCATGCTTTATATACTCATAATTAATCAAATAAAAACTTCATGTCAAATAGTTTTTATATAAAACAATTTTAATATAAAAAGGGATAAAATCCCAAGTGTACAGTACAATATCAGCTTTCTTATCATGAGGCATATTATAAGCAAGTTTTCAAAATACACTCATCACTTTTTATATTAAACATTCCTTGACAGTTCACAACAACATATGTATATAAAAACTTTCTTGATATCTTATAGCAACATATGTACATAAAAATACTTCCTTGTCTCCTCCCTTTTTCTTTCTTCCTTCTCTCTCCCTCTCTCCTTCACTCCCATCTCCTTTCTATCCTGCCTACATTCCTTTCAAGGCAGCAAGCCAAACTATGGCTGACACCCCAAAAGTACACAATGGCTTGGGATACGGCAGGCCAAACCAGGGAATTAAGAATTCAATCCAAGTTTCCCACGGAAGTAGCAAGGACCCAAAGACTGGAATGGAACCATCATCCTTCCCGGGATTCAAAGGATCAGAAATCTAGAACTGGGAAGAAAGTTAGGATTTGAGCTTTTAACTGATGTCTCAACCACTAGGTTAAACACACACTCTAGAACTAAATTTATTTTCATTTCCAAACTGCATATGTGAACTTAAGGCTCGCTGCAGACGTCATATACAATATATTGAATAGTATAATTAAAAGTACCGCTATCCAGAATAGAACTTAAGTATTTTCTTTGTCTATATGTCCTAGCCAGAACCACTTTCAGAACAACAGATTTAATTCCACGCTCTAATCCTTCGTTTCCGCATTGTCGGTTGTTTATTTAGAGAATATTTCAAATGAAAAATCCATACGGTCATACAAAATAACCCATAATGACAAATAAATGAAATGGCTTCTGCTACAAATATACATATGTTTGTTTAAGAGCTCAGATCTCTTTAGGCTTTTGAAACTGCAAGTCACTGTTCCTGGGAGTCCAAACATTCCAAAGTGAATCTACAGAGTTCACTTACATTGTCTGCAGCTGTGCTTCCATATCAAAGCATGAGGGAAAGGAAACCCAAACCAATACAACAGTATCTTTCCATTTTGACTTTAGAATACATTGAGAATGCATTAAGAGTGCTATGTCAGCTAAAGTACATCCCCAAGTCTCAAAGGTATTATGATCCAGAATGATGACTTTGCTGAGCTGTGAAAAAAGGCTAAGTGAATTACAAGTAAACAGGAAGGTTTCCTACTGCACTGGGCATGCTAAAACCAATTCATGACCCCAATTTACTTACACATATGCTTGAAAATGTGTTAGAAATTCTTCAATGTCACACAGAGTTATGAATAAAGGATAAAGTAATCAGACATTTAGCAGGGAAGGCTGGCTGAACTGAGAGCAGAAGATGAAAGGCCCACTTATTTCTGTAAACTAGTGACTTGTCAGTGAGTGTTCCTGGTCATCACCCACTGTGAAATGCAAAGAGCCATCCAGGAAGCTGTGTTCTCATAAAGTCTCAACGAGGTGTTCTCTGACTGCACAAATGCCAGGTCATTGGAGAGTGGAATGAACATCAACAGCCAAGTCAAAAAGTTAAATCCTTGCTTCCCAGTTAACAGTGGAGCAAATTAGTAACCATTCTTAGTATCTTCCTGTGCAACATGCATGCAAATATATGACCTGCTTCTGCAGAGGTAAATGGAATCAATACAGGTGAGGAATTTAGCATTGTTCTTCTTACGGTATAACTATGCTTTGGATGCTAATTAGATAACTACATTTTAACAACAGATAAACAACAAAAATGCTTCAAAAGACATCATGAAGCATAAAACTCACATTTAGACAATGTTTCAATGACAACAAGACCTAGATATATTTATAAATATGTTACTTCACCTCATTTATATACATTCACTGGGTTATGTTTAATACTGATATCTGACATTCCACATAGAAGGGCTGAAGCATCTTTCCTGGGCAAGTGTTCATAGCTGTGTATCACAGAGGATGACCAATGGCGGAGATAACTCACCCTCCAGGAATCTCTAATTACTTATTTAACTTAATTTAATTTAAAGTACATTCTACTTTCTTGAGTGACTTATGTTTGCATTTCTACAAATCAGAGTTTGGTTTTACTGAATGCACCACCATCAACGCTTCCTGTACAGAATGACATTATTAAAATACCAGCACTCTTTCACAAACACACAGACAAATTGTTGTCATTCATGAATTTAGATTCTTCCTCACTATATACCACAACCAACAGCTAACAGCGTTATGTATTGTCCTGCTCCTCCATGGTAACTTTTATCTAGATAATGTTAATGAATATCACGAAAACCACTAACTATAAAGGTCATGTGGGCAGTGGGCTTCCTACATGCTTATGTGTATGGATTGTCACTGGTAACCAACGTTTATTTCCAGAACAACTGCAAGGCTGTGGCTTTCTTAAGTGTGCTGAGGCAACCACTATTCTACATGTTGGAAAGCTTCTGGCTTAGGGAATTGGCCAAAAAGAATCTCCTCTTCACATATCCTTAAGTAAGTACAATAAACCCTCCATTAGCAATGGTCCAGCAGATGAATTGTATGCTATGAACAGGTCTTTCTTATTCAGAGGGTTGGCTTTAAAATAAATTATTTATTTGAACATATCTACACTCTTCCTTCTATTTATATCTTTGAAAAAACATTATCAAAAGCCATAATTGACACCACGAAACAATTCCTCCAGCAAAAATCTGAAAACAGGATTTACATTTCTTTCTGTTTAAAGGCAAATCCATCCTCCATCATGAGAAAACACCTGCTTCATAAATTTTGAAGAAATATATACTTGCTTGACTTTCTGAAATGCCACCTTTCTGACAAACTCATGGTGTATAATAAATTCCATTTAAAAACTGACATTATGCCATATTAACATGGGCAGTGAGGGAAAGCTTCAGGGCAAAAATTAAACGCACATTGTCTTTCGCGGTCATATCTTCATGCAGCCAGTTCATTTCCGCAGCCTAATCAACATCAGATACGGAGCAGTTCCTTCCATTTTCAGTTCACTGTAAAAAATAAAACTGTTCATCAATGGAGTCTGTTGAACTCTGATGATCAAGTGGCTATTCCACCTCCACTGCTGCGTCCCACCACGTCTGAGCAAGCTTGCCTTCCCCTCCTAAATGGCTGTAATTGATTTATTCTGACCAAACTCCTGTGAGATAGAGCAGGCTCACATGGTGAAACCATTCAATGTATGTAAACTTCGCTACAATAGCAATAAGTCAGACAGGGTCTATAACCTATGTCGGCCATTCCCCTTGGGTAATATGCACCAGAGTGAGTCGGGAAGGAGAGGATTCAACCAACCCTTCCCGCACGCAGTTCCACAGATTCTCACAGTCTAAACTCCTTCCTTCACAGTGCAATTCATTGTTTAAAACTCCATGTATATCGAAGTGGATTTGTTGCCTTTATTTGATGATAGGGCCCCCAGTCTAAAAGAAATGCTCTTTTGTGAATTCAACTCAAGAAATATGTGTCAGTGCTGAAGAAAAAAACAATCATAAAGTCTTGTATGTCCTTCCTGAGCAATAGCATTGAACCATCCTGTACGGGTGGCTTAGGAGATTTGCCAAGCTCTGCACCCATGTGGGAGACCTGGAGGAAGTTCTTGCTCCTTGGCTTCAGATCAGCTTAGCTTTTGCTGTTACAGCCATTTGGGGAATGGACTAGTGGATGGAAGATCTATCTCCCCTTATCTCTATAAATCTGCCTTTCAAATAAAAATAAATCTTCTTTAAAAAAAAACACAATAACTTAAGAATAATAATAAAAGTAAAACTCAAAAAAGAGATTTACCAGGATTAAATTTAAAGAGTATATGGTAATTTTTCATTACTATCCCCTTTAACACAGCAATCTCAGAGTTATAATTCCTTCCGTGAATGGCTGTCAATAGACTTATAAAATAATATTGCCACCTGCAGTCATAACACAGCCAGTAGATTATATTTCACTTTGCAAATATGAGATCCACATTTATACCATTATACTAAAATTTTTTCCAAAAATTAGAAAACAATAGGAATATCTGTATTAAGGAGATAGTAGATATTTAACTATTAATTCAATACTATTCATGACTGCAGCCTAGGAATTGGTAAAGCAGTCATTCTTTCCACCAAGTCCCCTCTGTAGACAGCAGTCAGGGCTGAAAGTGACCCCTGGTGACCCTCTCTGCTTCAGTTGCTCCCAATACTTACAAGGCCAAAGCAGCCTTGCTGGTCATGGTGATGCCCTGAGTCCTCAGGGCATAGTAGCTGGATGGAAGGAAGGGTGAACCATGGAACCATGCTCCCTTCTCATGGAAAATCCGGTCTGCCTGCTGTTCTCTGCCCTCTGCCCACCGAGGTAATGCCTTCTCCTTGCTTTTGAAATGTGAGCATCTCACCTTTTCATTGCATACCCCTGGGCTTTAGTTTCCTTTAGGAACTATAGGATTGGTGGCGAGAGATTTGGGAGCTGAGCTCCTGGTGTCCCAGGGATGTTAAAGGACTTGATTCCTAACCCTTTCCTCTCTCCTCGCTCATCACATGTGTCATTAGCAACATGAAACACTATACCAGGGAGTGTTGAAGAGGGAGGAATTTGCCTAAATTCCTCGGAGTGATGCTAAGCACAGGGAGTCTCATTTCCCACCTCAGGCTGTGATCAGGAGACCTTCAGGAAATGAGATGCTTCCCTAGAGAGAGGCGAGACTGTGAAATTCAAAAGCTGCTAGGATAGGAAGTTTTTAATCACTTTAAAAATTATACATGTAATTGCAGGCTATGTTTTCTTCGAAGTGATAATTTCCTAGAGTTTATGGAAAGGAAATGTGAGCACAGATTCAGATTCTTACCAGGAAAAAAAGCTGCATATTTTAAAAATGTCCTATAGATACTTACAATTCATCACTTTGATTATGTTAACGGATCACTATCAGTTTGAAATCATTTATTATTGGATTATTTTAATCACAGATGCAGAAAGTAAAAAAGAAATCAGAGTAAGCATTTTTTGTCATGACAATATTTGAGATCTGTTACAACTGAGCAATAAAAATGTGAAACTTATAAAAAGTCCCAAGGGCCTGGCACTATAGTCTGGTGGCCAAAGTCCTCTCCTTGCACATGCCAGGATATTATATGGGCGCTGGCTTAATCTCAGTAGCCCCACTTCCCATCCAGCTCCCTGCCTGTGGCCTGGGAAAGAAGTCGAGGACAGCCCAAAGCCTTGGGACCCTGCATTCACATGGGAGACTGAAAGGACTCTCAGGGCTCCTGGCTTCAGACCGGCTCAGCTCCATCCATAGAGGGCACTTGAGGAGTGAATCAGCGGATGGAAGATCTTCTGTCTCTCCTCCTCTCTGTATATCTGACTTTTTGATAAAAATCAATAGATCTTTTTTAAAGAGCCCCAAATTCAATAAATGTTAACAAATTGAGATTAAGATTTCTATCATGAAAGCCATGAGCCTTTGGGGCTGGTGCTATGAGGTAGTGGATACAGCACAGTGGCCATAGTGGCCACATGTGGTAACAGCAATCAAACTGGGAACCAGTTCCCTTATTGGCTGCTTTACTTCTGATCCAGCTATGCATCTGAAAAAGCAACAGAGTGTTGCCCAAGTACTTGGGCACTTGCATCCACATGGGAGGCCCAGAAGTAGCTCCTGAGCACGGGCTGTTGTAGCCACGTGGAAAGTGAAGCAATGGATGCAAGATCTCTCTGTGTCTCAATCTCTTTCTTTGTAAGTCTACAGGGAAAAAGAGATAACGAGATCTTTTTAAAATCTGAGTCTCAGTGGAAAAATGAGAATGAAAGAAAACATCTGTAATGTTTGGAAAGAATGTTGAAGTCAAGATTGGTTTTTTTAAGCAAAGGGGAAGAAAAAAGTTATCCAAACTCATTCATTCATTGTATTAATGCATTAGATTTTGAGATTTCAATGGTAAATAATATTAACTGTTCCAAATGGTAAGTGGGGCAGACAGTAAAGAAATTATTATATGAATATTAACAGACTGAATTTAACCAAGCTCAATAACAGTCAAGATTGGAAGTCAGTAGGAACAAATGCCTTACCTTGTTGAGACAGCCTTAGATACCTTTGTTCTAGGAGTTTCAGACCAAAGTGCCACCTTCGTTTTTAGTTCTTTATTCTAGAATTTAAAAGAACATAGAGATCAAATAGTTCATCTACTGGCTATAATCCTAATGCTTTTTTAAACCTATGACTTGGTTCACTCCTTGGCATTGTCTATTTTGGTTGCTTTATTAGAACACAAAGTATGGTTAGTTGAAATTCACTAAATATTATCTCTGAAGACTTAAATACACAATTAAAATGCATAATATGCTAAAGGATTAAAGTTTAGAATTATAAAACTCAATGACTTACCTGTGTTTTATTTTTACAAGGTTTCTTTCAGATAGACAATTAAATTTTTTTTCTAGAGAATCTTGTTAAAGATACTGTTGGGCCAAACCAAAGTGACTCCTAAAGCAGCTGAGTGCGTCAGAAGACAAGGGAGCTTATAACAAGCCAGGAACCCTGGCAAGGCTTGGAACACCAAGCAGCAGATCGAATCTCTGTGCTCTCTCTCCTTCCTGCCTCCCTCTGGCCATAAACAAAGCATCCCAAGTCTCAATGCTATCCTGGCTCAGGTCAATCAGACACTCCCATACAGAAATGTTTCAAATACCAAGTTTACACAGAATATCAACTCCCACCATCATGACACTGCAGTGAGGAGCTGCCATCATCCCCCACTTCCCACACCTAAGATGTATTTGTGCACCCTGGGTGGCCATTTCCCGCACATGGCCACTCTGCCACGTGGAAATAGTTTCGGGCACTCTCCCACTCTGTGGACAATTTGTCAGATTCATTCTCTCTCTCTCTGTCTCTCTCTCTCTCTCCCCCCTGCAGCCAGCTTTCTCACTGGAATAAAAGACCTCCCGTGTGACTCTTAGTCTAGATTTGTAGGTTTATGACTCAAAAAGCTAACAATACCCACAATCCTGAGCACACTTTTGTCTTTCTGCGGCAACTTCTTGATTACAAACCCTATGAATATAGGCACCATGATTACTACATCAGTTGTGGCACCTTAAGCCTTATTTTCTTATCAAAGCATACAATTCTTCATTTGTTTAGTAGGAGCAAATTATTCAAATCTTGCCTATCTTCTATAAATTGTTGAAAGAAGCACAACATATGATATTCTAAATTATTCAATATTATCCAATAGTCTAAACCTAGAAGCACTGTCATAATTCTAAGAAATATTGCAATAACTAATAAAAGGAACAATCCAAATACTGCTGATGATAAGCTTTCCGGCCTTGTTTAAGCCTAACTTCCTGGCCTACACATCAGGTGTAATACTAGCACTTTCTCTCTAAGTCTGGATTAAGGGGGAAATAGGTAAAATTCAGAACGATGTTTGGCATACATTTCATGATTTCAAGGAAGATGGTTATGATATCCAGTCCGTGCTTTACTTTCATAACTGAAGGTTGAAATCATGAGAGAAGTCAGTGGTAAGTTGGGTCCCTAATCCAGATCGAGTTCATTTTCTGCAACACAGCCAAGCCAGGCAATTTTCACTTCACAGCACTCAGAAGTGAGAGTTGAAAACAGTGAAAGATCCTGAGAAAAGTTGAATCACTAGTTGCCTCCAGACCAGAGGTCTCCAAAGAATACATCTGGATAGAAAATCTAGTATCAAAAGGTGAATGGTAGAATGATGACACAGGCAAATGAGGTTTTCAAGAATACAGCAGCACCAATGCCTGATAGAAAACTAAGGACTTACACAGAATCATATAATTAAAGTTTAAACAGTATTTTCTAAAACTATGATGGTCTGAGTAAGCTATTCCATTGGAATAAGCCAACAACAAGATATTGAGTTTCAGAAATAGACATTGGAATTTTGATGAAAACTAGAAAGCTAACTAAATATGAGTGCCCAGCCAATTCATAATTTTTACTAAGGAAACAAAGTTAGCAAAAATTAGAATGACTGAGAAGGTTTCCCGTGATATTGTAGAATGTGTTATTTTTCTCTACAACCAGAGGAATTAACCCAGCACCTTAATATTACATATGAGCAAATGGCGATGTTCAAGAGACATAAAGATTCAGTGACTTTAGAAGGGCCTGCTGGGATGATAGATACAAAACAGAAAACTTAAAAATAGGAAATGAATCCATGATTTATCTATTGCAACCATCCACACACACACACACACACACACACACAGAGTCACTCACTCACACTTGCACATTCTCTATTATTCAGTCCCTGCATCTCATCAACTCCAAGCCAGGACCACAGGAATTGCAAATAGGAACCAGAACATAGGATCTCTTTCAGTACACAGACGGAACATTATAGCTGAAGTGATACTACAAGCATGTGGATACTAAATAATGCAAGAAAATAAAAGCAATTCAATAAGCCATAAGTGGTGCATAATTAATTGCTGAATAAGAGATTTTAAAAAGGAGAAATCAGTGTGACCACAATAAAAAGCTAAGTACACTTGGAGACTTAACCTGAACAATAAAAATAAAATGAAATGGGCTTGTGTAGAAAAGCAGGGAGGATAAAGATTGAGATAACCATTCTTGAAGTGTGACCCTGGGATCAGCAGTGCCAGCATCATGTGGGAACTTGCTGGAACTACAAACCCACACTCTCAACCACACCTGCTGAGCCAGAAGTCCACGGTGGTCCTGTGATGTGGATTGGGTGACTCCTGAAATAATTCCAAGGCCTATTCACTTGGAAGACAATGGACTGAGAAGTATTTCCAGTCTTGACTGCATGCTAATGTTACTCAGAGGGCTTAAGACACAGTTTGGTCTACCCACATTCTATATTGAAGCATCTTGCTGAAATGCCAGCTCCATGTCAGATATCAGCTTCCTGCACACTTAATGCACACTCTGAAAGGAAACTGGCAATGGTTTAAGTCCTTGGGTGCATAACACCTTTGTGGAGATACCTGGATTCAGTGCCAGGTCCCTGATTTTCATCCTAATTCAACCCAGATGGCTGCAAACGTTTGCAGAATGAGCCAGCACATAAAAGAATGAGCCAGCAGATAAAAGAGATCTCTTTGCCTCCTAAATAAAATAAAAATATATACATAAAAATTTTTAAAATAAATTTTTTGTTGAAAAAAGAACAATAAAATGTGCTGATACCTAATGCCCTAGATCCTGTTTCACTTTATAGAGATTGAGTTCAGTTGTTTTCAAACTCTTCAAGTCATTGTAATGTGACCTGATGATCTGAAGCATGGGACTTTGCCCTTTCACCACCCCGCCCCGTCCCCACCTTCTGGATGGAGTATTCTCTAAAGAATAAGACCACCTGCAAGCACATTCATCATTTCTCCATGCTATTTTAATAGTTCCATGCAAGTATTACTCAGGAGATATATTACAATTTGATAAATTAGTAATAGAAGTGTTCCTCAAATAAGGGACATAAATCTAATACATAAGTAACAGAAATATTACTTAGAAATTATTTGAATTTTTTTTCCAAAATATACTTCCACTTTCTTACATTGCTGAGTATCGAGTAGCACATAAGCATGAGAGACTGTTACGCTGTTTTAAATGTATTTCAAATCCTATGCTGACACAGGTCATACATCAGACTCGGGTACTTAGTCTTACTCATTTACTTTTCTGTCTTTCCTTTAAGCATCACAGACATATGCATGGATTTACCACATCACGAGTTAAAACACCAACAGCTGGCCTGACTGTTCCTGCCATTAGCATGGTTCTGCCCGAAAGGAGTTTACTGCTTTCCTTTTCCAAAAGAACATATTCTAAGAGTGAAATCAAATTTCAGGATTCTGGTGATCATACAATAAACCAGAATCCTCAAAGCTTAAGAAATGGAGTAATTTTTGTTTATTCATTTTCATATGAACAGGTCATTAGTGCAGAAGCTAGAGATGCATAAAATATAAAATAGATAGCAGCATTGTAAATGAAGATGATCAAAGATGCAAACATAGAAAGAGGGTAAATATATTTTTTTAACAGTTAAACAAAATTTGCTGATGATTTTTAAAAGAAGATTGTGAAACTTGAAGATTTTTTTTTAAAGTTGATTGAGTCAAGTGTATAAACAAGGGTTAATTAAAACCAAGCTGGGATAAATAAAAGCAAATTTTAGGCAAAAATTTTAAAAATATATTTAACATAGTTGCTGGTACAATATTAATTCATAACTGTGCACCGTGTCTACAGTATGTGCATATTTCACATGAACGTCTATGTATCTGCACATGAATGTGTATTGTGTGCACACACACATTCCAGCCTATTGATAAACAGCCACTGTGCAGCATGGCAAGAGGTTCATGCACAAACCCGCGTACACTGAAGTTCAGTTACCTACTAGCTAACTGATTTTGAACAAGTTTCTTTTTAACTTCCATAAATCTCATTTCAAACTTGCAAAATACAATAGGTATTAACTTTCTCCTGAAGTAGTTTTTAACAATAGACAAAATTAAATACGTAATACACTGAAAACAGACAAAAGGTTTTAGCATGGAGAAGAAAATGGGGCAGTCAGTTTGGACGGCTGACAGTTGGGAAGAGTCTGTCAAGCTTTGGCGACCACTGCTCATAAATGCAATCAGCCTATCCTGCTTATAGATTTATAAATGATATTTATTATATTTAAAAAGCAATGAGATTGGAGGCATGTAAGCAAACAAATGTGAGGTTGGATAAACTAATTTCTCTTGTATTCATAGTAAATATCAATTTACATTCCAGAAGCACTGAAATTCAGCTCAAATCTCCATTTTCAGATAAACAAAAATCACCATGGACTCTGGCGCCATTTAAGAAGTTTCCACTAGAGAGGCACACATTTCTTGCTGCACCATACTCTAATGTGAGTCAGCAATTGTTTGCTGAATACTGAAGCAAAAGATTGAATGCTGAAACAAAATACAATAGGCTGTGTACAATTTCCTGATGTGATTATTGGATCAGAAGGCCAATAAGAAGATCCAGGCTTGTCTGGGTTAAGTTGCCAGTCTATTTAGGACAATTTTTTTTGTGTGTATGTGTGCGTGTATGAACACAGATACAACTAAAGAACATAAAACTGAGCTAAAAGCACTAGTCTTACGAATACCTTCACCCTATGATGAGAGAACTGGCACTTCATCAGGTAGGACCAGAGCCTAGAACTAGAAAGGAGTAAAAGAGCAGAAAAAGCTGTCAAGTCTAAACAAACTCTCCAGCTAAAATCTATGACAGAAGCATCCTAGTTACAGCATCATGTCATGGAGCCAAAAGAGACAGGTATGCTCCTGGGACAGTTGTCACCATTAAGGAATATTTCTACTGTGTTGATTAGCCAGTAATTCCACAGTACAGATCTCCTATCTGTTTTGTTCACCATTGGCTTCCTGAATTCAGTGCCTGAACTAGTGCCTACTTAAATACCTGCGAAAATAATTACATAATCAGTGATGTGAACAAATGAGTGAAACAAACAGGAGTTTAATAGAATGCAACAGACACGGTTTTATATCACATATATACTACACCTTTAACAGGTTCACACAGGTATGTGATAGACACAGACATCCAAGGAAATGTACAAAGACGTGTGCAATTATGCAGAGTCTGCAGCACCCATGTGTATCTTTAGGAGTAATTTTCTTGTTCTATTTGCTTATAAGTTTTCCCAATTTACATGAAACAAAACTACGTAAAAACAAAAGTAACACAAGCTACATTAACATCTAATAATATATGTAATGATATAAACTATTTCATCAAATTAATTTTGCTCAAAAACCACTAAGTAAGAGACATGGCAAAGAGCCGTTTTCTTTGCCAGAGCATTTCTTTGAAGAGTAACCAATTCATCCTGAAGTATCTAACCTGGAAGTCCCCTGACACACATTAACCAGCCATTACTGGGCACTTGAGTAAATGGCAATTTTGAGCCAATCACTCCACGTTCAGTGCATTTTCAGCCGTATGAAGCTGTGAACAATCTCTCAATCAAATCAGCAATCCCCTAGAGTGTGCGGTGGCTGAAGGTGGAAGGAAGGAAGAGTTCAGGGTTTCTCTCCTCCAGAATTAAAGCAGAAAAGTGGTTCTCTGAGAAGCCAGAAAAGCAAGAGAGCTAGAAAAGTGAAGCTGTAAAAATACTCGCCACCTCTGTGTCCTATGAATCAGTAACTTCTATTCAGGTAAAGCAGATAGAACATGGTGTTAGAAGGAATGATATGCCTTTGTGCTTGCTCTGAGAACCAGCTTCTGTTGGCTCTCCCTTGGAGCGAAGAAAGTTCCAGAAAATGTAGGGGGTTTCTCATGGGTACCAGAGCACCTCCATATCTCACAGGGCAGCACAGCCCTGGGAAAGGCAACAGCAGAAAATGACAACATGGAGGGACAAGGAAGAGATGACAACCAGATCCAGGCAGTGGAATTGGGAAGGTAAAGTGGTGTAGCAAGGCTGAATGATAAGCAGCCATGCAATCCTCAAAGGTGCTGCAACCTCGGCCTGCACGGCCATGAACTTCCTGCCAGTTGAGGCTACTGCCAGCCCAGACCAAGCAGTGACTCTTGAGAAAAGGAGAACTGAGTGGGCTGGAAGAAAATGGACTCAACACAATGAGTCAGGAAGTAGAATGTGAAGTTTTCCACAGCCTGCAGGCTGTGATGCATATGGAAGATGCAGAAGGAAAAAGAACCTCTTGGGGCAGGAACGAAATAGTTCAAGAAAGAAAAATAGATGAGAAGCCTGGTCTTCTGAGGAGATGGAATTAACATCAAAGTGGCCTTGACCATGGCTCCAATTCAAGTTCATACGAGAGACAGGTGGTAACAGTAAAACAAGTATCTGAGAAAGCTTGGATGAAATGTTAACAACTATTTATAGCATTTATCTAATTCACGCATTAAATGTCAATGGCAGCAGTAAGGTAATAATAAAACCATGTTAAATACTTAACAGTAATTTAACAATGATCGCAAACACATCCCCCCAAGCTGTTTCTTATGCATAGAAGATGTGCACATTCACAAATGACACTCATGTATAAACAGATGCATGCACAAAAATTCACAAATGACACTTCGACACAATCAGTCACACACAATCACAAAAGCTCATTCCCATGTAGTCATCCTCAGAGATGCTGTCACACAGCGCACGCGCACACACACACACACACACACACACACACACACGTCCAATCAATGCCCTCCTTACCTGAGCTTCAAGTATGTCGACTTTTTCTTTGAGACTTTCAATTTTTTCATCTTGTTCCTTTAAATTATTTTTTAATCCTTCCATCTAAAAATTAGAAACACAATTGGAAAAATCTTGTCAGTCCATTGAGAATAGTTACTGAAGCCAGAAAGCATACAACTTCCTGAGGTCACATGATGTTTAACAAATAAAAATATAAAATCCCAAAAGTATCATCCAGATGCAGCAGGCACAGAAAGCAGAATGTCGCCCTGGCCCCTGGGCTTTCAAGCACTCAGATGGCATAGTGAGATATTTTAAGCCTTGGATAAATTTTCTGCTAAATCAAGCAAGAGTGTATCTCCCAGGTGAAAATGGGCATTGGTCAGGCTCTGTCATCATTGCAGCTTCAAGGTCGCATCCTGCACACACAGCTGCTGGCGTGCCCAGAGATGAAGATCTTGTCAACCAGCCACAAGACACAGTGAGCCTGCCTTTCCAAGAGGGCGCGGACTGCACAGAGCAAAGACATGAACTTCGAAATCAACTCTGACATTAGTAGCTTTGCCTTCCCTTGAACCACTCTGGATCGCAGCTTCTTAGCTGCTAAATGAGTGTGGGGTGCTGCCCACTCTCTTCTCAAGTCCCCTGCTGGCTCTCAAATCTCACCGTTCGATTTCCTGGACCTTTAGAGAAATCATACCCAAGCAAGTGCAATTGCTATGTTTATGTTGGGGAATTTACTGGAAGTATCTGGGAAGAGTTCTTTGGCAAAAAAAAAATATGAGAAGCAATGAAAGGAGGCTGGGTTTAATCTAAAGTATGCCCCCAAACAGATCAATGCATATTTTGCGGTAGATTTTCAGCACTCATTCAGTATTCATTTAGTTGGGTGCTATCACAATTGCCTCTGCTTTCTTGGCTGCCAGGACGTTCCTGGAGAAGAAAAGTTAGGATATACCCTACCTAAAACACCTCTAAATGAACTCATTGCTTATAATGTCATAACATGGTTCATTCCAACCTACAAATTCTTCAAAAGAAACACTCACATTTTCTGACTGAGAATACTCTACAAAAACGTTGAAATGTCTAATAAAAGCATTTAAGGACAGTTTTACAGTCTTCGCCAAGAACAGGTGTTGACATCACAGACAGAGAGGGCACTAAGAAGTGCGCTATTTTGCATGGGAAGCAAGGAGGATATCCCAGTGAGGAGACATGTCTTGTTGCTTTGAAAGTCCCACCAAGACACTTGTACTTAACCTTCACGGTATAAGCAACCATCGGCCAGAGAAATGCACTCAATCAATCTGACCTCCTGGATGATGCTCCGCAGGTTCTGATGCTGGGAGTGAATCACAAATTGCAGGTGAGAAATTTGCTCCTGCAGAACAGAAATCTCCACTTGAAGATCCTGGCAACTGAGAACACAAGGGAGAAGGGAGAGAGGAAGATGGCTCCTGGTGCCTCTTCTTGCTTTTTCTTAGTGCCTGTGATGCCAGGGCTCCCTCATACACCCAGCAGAACTGGGCATCAGGTAGGTGATGCCAAGCCCCATATGCCATACAGACCTTTGAAGAGAAGCAGCTAAGAATTAGCCTCTCTTTTGCATATATGAACTTGAATGACAATATCAACTCATGTCAAATCTCCCATAGGACTGTCTGTGACTTCCTCCAATAGATAACTGAATCAGGTTGTACTGCTTGAGGTGAAACTCTTACATGTCTAAATTACCTTGTCTACAAACATTCACAGGCCCAGAATCCATCAGATTTCAGATATGCCAGTCATTAAGATGCTTACGTGCCACAACACAGACCTAGGGCTGCATACCCAGAGCTGTTCCCGACTCCAGCTTTCTGCTAGCAGAGAATTTGAAAGGCAATAGTGATGATGCAAGCAACTGGGCTCCTACCACCCCAGTCTGAGACCTGAGCTGAGTGCTCAGCACCCAGCTTCAGCGACAGCCCAGCCCAGGGCATCATGAGTATTTGACAGAGTGAGTCAGAGGACGGTACATCTCTAATCCCACCCCCAATCACACGTGGAGAGTGAGGTCAGAATACACAAGAAGGAATGGAGACTTTTAATCAGTTTTCAATGGTACATTTATTATATGTCGTAACTGCCTGTGCTTGCCTTTTGTATTTTTGCTTTACTTCCTATATTTGACAATTCTACCTTTTGTCATGATGTTAGATTCTTCAAATGCCAAGTTACATTTGAATGTACATCAACCATTGAGCAAGGTCGAGGCAGTTTGAACATTGCTGCTGTTGTTTTGTTTTTTTTTTTTTAATCAGTGGACATGTATTACTTTTGTAATAGAAGAGTAAGTAAGAACCAAAACCAATCCACATTGAAAATTATCCAATAAAAAGTAGATTAACGTTTGGGGAAACATCTGTATTAAAACAGAAACCCCATGTCGATCAGTTCAATTGAGTCATACAAGGTTACAGAGAGGAAGAGGCAGAAGTGCTACAAGTGGATAAGACCTGGGATCTAGGACAATAGAGAAAAACAAGCAAGTGGCCTGAGAAGCAAAAGAGAAGGCAGAAAACGACGAGAGAATGAGTGTCCAAATAAAGTGTGTGTGTGTGTCCTAAAAACATATCTTGTGAAATCCAGTCACAAAATGGAGTCACTTTGGTTCAGGCCTGTGTAAGTCTGTTCACCTGCTCTTTAATGATTCTGTACAAAATGCTTTGCCCACTTCCTGCTCTTTGGGTCAAAGCACAAGATGTAACATCCCTACCAATAGCTCTCAGTGTCACGAATTGATACTGTAAGATTTGCTTCACCCACTGTTCTCATGGCTGCCTTCTGTGACTGTCCAACTCACTTGGTTCCAACAGCTGCACAACTCACTGTATCTACGCAAACCCCTGTAGCCCTCATGTAGGGTTTTCTCTGGAGGAAAGGAGAGCTGAGCCCACCTGGTTGGTCTGCTTACCTGCCTCCTCAATAAACTCTGCAACTGCTCAGAATTGTCTGGGCTACACTTCTTTTAAAGATTTATTTTATTTTTATTGGAAAGTCAGATAGACAGAGAGGAGGAGAGACAGAGAGGAAGATCTTCTGTCTGGTGATTCATTCCCCAAGTGGCCGCAACGGCCAGAGCTGTGCCAATCCGAAGCCAGGAGCCCTGAGTCTCCTCCGGGTTACATCTAACTGTCCTTAGATCTTGGTATCACAACTACTTCTATATTACTATGGATTCATGTAGCATGCTGTTTATAGAAATGAAAATTCCAAAAGAAACAGAAAGAATGAGATGCTGAGATTTAAAGAAAAAAAAGCAGAAAGTAAAAGTAGCTACTGAAACTGTGTCACATACCCAGAGATTCTACTTCTGGAACATGACACGTTTTTCAGACATTGGTAATATGAAACATCTCACACGGGATTCCCAATTAAGAGAGAAGGCAATAATGTTAGTGGAATCTTATAGCTTATTTTGAGCTGCAAAAAATCCTGCTCCCGTATAGAGGGGTGCAGATTGTGTGGTATGCAGGCTAAAATGTTTCCCTGAACGCCCCTAAAGCTGAACAGCACTGATTACAGCAAAAGGATTAACCAAGAGCCCCACCTTTAGTGGGCATTTGGCACAGCTTCCAAGTTGCATCCCCATCAGGCGGCCTCATGTAAGCCCTGGGGACTCTGCTCACTCAACTGTCTGCTAACGTGTGCTCTGGCAGGAAGCAGATGATGGCTCAAGTACTGGGTCCCTGCCACTCACAGGAGAGACCCGCATTAACTTCCAGGCTCAGGCTTACCTGAGCTCCAACTCAGAGGCACATTGTACAAACTAGTAGTTCTACTGCATGGAAAAGATGCTCTATGTAAGAAACAAAGTAACCCAAAGATTTAATTAGAAGTAGGTGTGATACCAAGACCTAAGGACACTTTGTGCAGCCTTTCCTTTGTTCTCTACAGACTGCACCTTGTTACAAAGCTATCCTAGAAGTCTGGGACTATAGGCAGTTCACAGGGGAGATTTTATGAATTAACAATTACAGGTGCCTCAGTATGTCTCAAAAATGTATGTGTAACCGCAAGGGTCAACGCATTTCTGCATGAGGTCTTTTGTGGTCAGAAATGCATGAATAAGAAGCAAACAGAAGGTGCCACACATAAGGAGATGTGAGCACAGATTCAACAAGGGAAGACAGTGAAGTGCTTGGAGGAAACCAAAAGACTCAGAAAGAGGGATATTTAAGTATACAATACAGCATAAATGACAGTAAGAATCTCCTCATTCTAAGGATATGAGAGTACCTGGTTTCCCAGAAAATAACCATCCTATACTGCCAAAGTACAATCTTGAAATAGGCTTGACTTTTAACTTTATAAGATTAATACTGAAATACAATAACTAGGCTGAGCTTAGAATGCAAAAAGAGAACAAAAATTTCATAAAATGTGATATAAATTATTAAACAGAAACATAAGAGTAATTTAGTATACATAATACTTGATGCATCGTAGTAATTTTCCTAATAGCAGCTGAGTTGTCAAGCAGCTGTGCTGATTTCGATACATCTACTTCTGCCTGCTGCATACAAAGGACTGAGGCTGCTTAGAAAGCATCAGTATTTGTAGGTAAGTCCAAAGAACTAAGCATGTTTTCCATAAATCTTCCTTCCATCTCTACAGAACCAAGGAGTCCACGGAACTGTATTAGAATTCCACTGGCAGGCCAACCCTTTTAATACCACTGTGGAAGAGACTCATTAACAAAGACAAACTCCCATGGGGGCAGGAAGACCTCTCCAGCAGCTCCAGGTGCCACCCTTTAGGATTAACCTTCCCGCAGTTCCCCCCAGACCTCACAAATCCTGCTCGGTAGTTCCTCAGTGGATGGGACAGGGAAGCCCAGTACTGGAAATCCCTTCTCAATTTGCCTTCATGCCTTTTCTTGGAGGGTTAGGAGGGTGGATGCCAAAGCCTTCTGCCAGAGTACCAATGGAAAGGCAAGATGCCAGGATTTTCTTAGAACTTAGAAGATAGATGTTCAAACCTTTTAGTGCATGCAGCACCGGAGTTGAGTTGCAGTAGCTTGTTTTCCAAGGACAGTTTTCTTTCCAGTAGTGTTCTTTTTTCCTAAAGGGAAAAAAAAAGATGTGATTTTTTTTAGCTTGTGTGTCTGTGTGTACACGTATGTTTTTGGTAAAGCATTCTTGCAAGCTGTTTTAAAAGATGCTTCTTATAATATGAGTAACAAAGCTTGACCTGAAGAGCTCATTTCTTGAAAGTGGTTACCACCCACGCCGAGGGAGTCTACTCAGCCATTTCCCAGGGTACTTGACAAGCAGCTCAGTGATAAGTTAAGAGCAGTTATCTTCACTCCATTATAGGAATTTAGAACTTTGGTTGGCTGATACAAGTTATCAAGTCAGAGACTCAGGGGAGGAGATAGAACAAAAAGGAAGAAACTGATTGGAGAAGATATTTTGAAACTACTTACAACACTGCTTCAAATCACTTGCTGCTATATTTATATGGGTGATATACAAAGCAATGTTTTATTTTCTCATAAGAATATAGACTGATCTACTTGGGAAATGTTAGCCAAGGTTTTAACCTCTCTGGATCTTATCATATTCAGGAAAAATTAACCAGAAACTTAGAAAAACAGTGTACAATAAGTCACATAAAATATTTTACACCTTATTGGGTCATTATTTGATCATCTAACCCAAGAACATTAATGTTTTCAGGGACTTCCCCTGTGATGGATTTTATTATTTAGTTAAAGTTCAGATTCTCTGATGTTATATGTTAATTTGTGGATTTCTATCTGGTAGAGAGATAATCCTGTAAATTATAATTGAATTGCCTAGGAAATATTAAGCAGCTTTTCATCTAATCTAGTCATTCTATCCTAGATTCCTTTTGCAACCTAGACAGAGCCTGTTTCTAAAAATATTTTATTGAATCTAACCTTAATGCCTTACCAGTTTCCTCAACACATCAAGTAAATAAAACATCCTACATGTACTCATGCTATATTCATGTTAATCACGCTTCTAACTTTCGGAACATCCCTAACTAGAGATAACACAGTGACAGTCAGAGATAACACACATGAAAGGTGCCCCTGGTTTCATGGCACATACTTGGCCCTTAATACATAGGACGCCTTTTACCTTTATGTTCTGTTACCATTTGGAATTATACTCTCTCAACTATCCTGTTGCATTCTTGCAACATAGAGGTTGTCTCAAGTCAGCCCATGCTGTGTTCAAATTATTTCTGAAGGAACAGAGAAATAGCTCACAGGCTTATGAGGATGCTTCGGGTTTCAAAGAAACACATTGAAGGTAATGTATTTCAGTGTATAGGATGAAGGGAAATAGTATTTAACAAATGTTTTTCCTAACATAATTGCCCTTGATCAATGGATTTTCCTAGCCAGGAGTCCAGGAGATCAGCATCTGGATTAATGATTGTCTTGGACTCGAGATGTGTCTCCTCTTTTGCAACCCAGGAAATCATTACATCACCTCGCATTTCTTGGACAGTGTCTTCCAAAAAATGAAGGCAGCTCGCAACACCACACAGCAGCCAGCCTACTGCAGCCAGTCGGCCTCCAGAGACCTTGAGATTTCCTGCCCTCTAATGGCCACAGTGGGCGCCAATTTGGCCCATAAACAAGTGGGACAAAACCCAGCTGGGAGAGCCACGGCCATTTGTACAAAGGGGAAGAACTAAGTGGTTTTAAAGTGCCTTCAAGTTCTAAAACAGTAATAATGACTCTAGGAACAAATACAATGCAATGGAATTGCACTGCCAGCAAAAGTAACATATGCCATATTAAAACACTCTTACTGGGCGTCCACGCTGCCTTTCCACAGTGTGTGGAATTCATTCTCACTGCATTCATGATTACGGCGCGACAGATGGGGAAGGTTTTAAGTAATGTGTTCATTACCAGACCTCATATCACTAATGGCTCTCCACTGGAGCAGGGCCTTACCCCTGTGAGGAGCAAACACAGCCGTCTCCAGGGGCACCCACAGCCATGGCCGTGGGTGTTCATTGTCTACTTCCACTTCCTTTTGGAACACACGCCTTTTTTTCTTTTTTCATATTATTTTCCATGATACAGTTTTATAGATCTAAGGATACCTCCCCTCCCTTCCTTCCCATTCTCACCCCACTGCTTCCTCCAATATCATTGCACTGATAGAGTCCTGCAGTACAAATCCAACAGTCTATTTAAGTGTGTCATAGCATTGTAGGTACAAGCATTGCTAGAAAACCTAGCATCTTCTTGTCAAAGTATACTTAACAGGTTTTTAAATCCTACCATTTGCAACAAAATGGTCCCAATTGGAGACCAGTATGCTCAGTGAAATAAGCCCATTCTAAAAGGACAAATAGCATAATACTCTCTGATATAAAGCAACCTTCATGCAAAATACATGATAAATAGATATATAGATAGACATGAATATACATACATTCTCCCAGAGGTACTGAATAGTAGAGACTAGAGAAATGAAGATGCATTGTAGAATGCATCTCTATTCTCAAATGGAAGCAACTTTTTTTTTTTTTTTCATTTTAAAGCAAAGGCTTGGTGCTCCTCCCCTCATCTGATATGCACTGTCCCCACCTCAGGAAATTTTTCTCCAATGTCTCTTCTTAGAACTTCCTCCAACCAAGAAGATAGTGCCACACTTTGATTCTTACAGCTTCATTCGTGAACATCTGCTAACTCCTGTTATAAATATAAAATCTTTCAACAAAACATATTATTTCTAAAAATCTTGCACATTGCTCCTCCGCCCCATTGCGCTTACTTCCACTTTCCAGAGCTGCCCATAGCAAGTCACAGGGCATGTTGCTGCTGGCCCTGCTGGACGAGGAGCATGCTGTCCACTTCAGTCGTCACAGAGATCCTGCTGACAGGCCAAGTTTGGGCCAATAGTAAGGCAGAAGCAAGGCCACAAGGTCTCCTAATGTGCTACTAGTGTCTAAGCCACTGAATTTTGTCCTGGCATAAAAGATTACACTTTCCATACTTGGCACTAAGAAGGATTTTGTAAAAAAAAAAAATAAATAAATAAATAAAGGGGGTCTTTTGAGGCCCACTCACTTCAGATTTACTGCATTGTCATCTCCACATTAACATGGGACTATGCAGGGCTGGCACTGTGGGGTGACAGGATGACCCCTGCTTGAGATGCTGGCTTTCCATGTGGGTGCTGGTTCATGTACCAGCTGTGTCCCGTTGAACTCAGCTCCCTGTTAATGACCTGGGAAAAGCAGTGGAAGATGGTACAAACATTTGGGCCCTGGACACCTGTGTGGGAGACCCAGGTAAAGTCCCTGCTTCAACCTGACCAAGCAGATGGAAGAGAGCTCCCTCCCTCTCTCTCTCTCTCTCTCTCTCTCCCCTCTCCTTTGTAACCTTTTCAAAATGAAAGAATCTTTGAAAAAAAAAAAAAAACAGGACTCTGCCTGCTCTGCGTTCAAATGCATACAGAGCCTCCACTCCCTGTAAGGGGAAGCATGTGGTGGAGGCTTGAACACCTGCTGAGAAAATGATCACGTCAACAATCCCCAGAATTCCAGGCTGCGTTCATGTAGGACAGATCCCCCGGGGAACTAGAAATAGAAACCATCTCCCACAGTTCCTAAGGAGCTGCTGTTGTTGTTTGATTAGTTTTCAAGCACTGGGGGGCAGCTAGTGTTACTGGATTTGAGACAGGGTGATCACAAATCTAAGTTTAAATGTCAAGCTGCTTAATCAAGTTGGTTAGTTAAACAGTTTCCAAAACTGTTTTCCCTTCTAAGCGCATGCATTCTTTCTGCTCTCTTTATTAAACTATGTGTTGCAGAATAAAGTATTCTACTACCACCAAATATTCAATAAAATATTATTTTTTCCCAAACAGCATAATGATAAGCTGGCATATCTGGATAATCCCATTAGGTAAGGGCATTGTAGCTCATTTATTCCACCTAAAGAACATTGACCCACCACCTAGTACAGATATCACTATGCTCTTGTCATGAGATCCAAGTAAGTTTGAGCTTAAAGTCTTGAGATCTCAAAAAGAACTCCATATTGATGAAAAACCCAACCAAATTCATAGTAATAAAAACACTGAAATCTTGGGTAATATTTTAACACTACTCAAGGTTCTTTTCACTAAGATATTTGAATACCATTGACATACAGGGAATCTGAAGTGACATTTCAGAAGTGATGTGAGACAGACAGAATCAGAAAACAAATTAAGGCTGAGAAGAGCAGAGGCAAATCAGAATTAATACAATAAATATGAGAAGAAAAATGTGTTGGGTGCTTTTTCCTGGTTGTCAACACCTATACTCATATCTACCACAATTTAGTTTCAGAGTTGCAAATTTTCCATTTGTTTTGTTCTTAAAATATAATGGTTCTCTTTAAAATTCTAAATAAGGCTCGCGAAATTAAATTTATGTGTCTGCCTTTTGTTTGTGTTTGGTTTGTCAGACTTTTAAAGAAACACAGTAGGAAACTTCTTATAATTTTGGTTCTATTTTTGCTCTTGTGCAAGTTCCAATTGCTCTAGGCTCTTTTTAATGGGAAAAGCCTCTCTTGGTGCAGCTGTAAGCTTTTACAAATCTAAAGTGAATCTGCATCTAGAAATGGATGGGACACTAGCTCTAGGACACCAAAATGTTACCGACTGCAGGGTCCTCTGTGCTTGAATTCCTCATGGGAGAACTTTGTGATCTTTTTCACGATTTCCATTCACAGCCTCACACTTTCCTCTCTGAGACATGGAGTTAACCAAACAGAGGAAGTGACAGCAAATGATGTGACTACACACCCTTGCTGAGAACTAAATTGATAACCACAATACAGCTCGTGTTCAGTGTGTCAGGGCAGAAACTAACACGACTGGATACTTGCAAACACCGAGTATTGCAAGGAATTCTTCCACTTGATATCATCTTACTTCGTGCAAGGTCTTATTTACTTCAATACTGTTTTCGTTCATTCTCCACCTATCCGTGTCCGGAAGGAATGGTCTTATCTCCCCAAGGACCGACCTTTTCCATTCTCTGTACAAGGTTCTCCAGTTCCGTGATCTGACTCTGCTTTTCTTCCAACTTTTCAGCAATTTGATTCACATTTTCAACATGTTGCTTTAACGTCTGTTCTTTTTCAAGCTTGTTAACCTTTGATCAGAAAAACAGTTATCAGACTCTTATTTTTATTAAGCTTACATACATTATTTTCTTCTAGAAATTTCTAATTAGCACCCTCCAAGTTGAAAGTTCTCACTGATTCAGAAAATTACTTTTTTGGTTCTAGTGTCCCTCAAAATGCATCTGTTATACCACTGTAAATTTAAATTAGTAGGGAATTGATAATACGCAATCTGAATTAGTATAAGAAAAAGAGATGCTAGTTCAAGACAATATTTTTTCACTTTTTTCTCAATTATCTAGAAAGAAAAGTTTATATGTTTACTATAAATGTTAATTATCACTATGAATCATGACGTTACTCCATAACCTACAGCAGCAGTTGTGCTGAAATATCATAGAAGTGTACTGTCCATCTGGCAGTCCATCAACCACACTGGGCAGGTTTCAACTGACACTCAGCTGACATGCACACACATAGCTGCATGTCGATTTAATCGAATTCGAGGTCTCATTAAAAAATTAGAATGTCTGACTTCTCTTGAAAACACCATGTGGTCATTCCTGCCAGACCACTTCAGGCTGGAGCTGAGCCTCTTTTATAGTAACAGGTGCGTGCTGTCTCCATGGACACTGTACCACACACAGTGCACCTGTCGGCTGTATCCACCAGTCACTTCAGGTATTCAGGATGCAGCTGCACCTGGCACACAGGTGAGTCCGTGACCAGCGTCATGGGAGCCCAAGGCATGACAGGTGTCAGCTTTAGGCAGTGGATTTCTTACTGTTGTCCACCAGGGATCTTGCCAAGGCCTGAGCTGCCAGAAACCCAGCAGCCCCACCAAGATGGCACTTGCCTGGCAACTGTTTAGTATTGTGAGCTTTACCACACACACTTATGCACACACAACACTTCTTTTTCATCTTGTCCCATAATAGGAAGAAGCCTCAAAAACTTCCATTGCATAGTAGGATGACTCTTGACAACCTCAGTTATGGATGTTTGTACTAGGAAGAAATTTTTGAGGGGGTACATATATTTACCCTGAATGGACATTACATAAAACACATATGTACAAAAATGCCCCCATAATATATATAATTTTTATATATCAGAGAAAATAAATATTCCAAGGAAAATGATGCCTGGATTTCAGATTTTTGGGAGGTCAATATGAATTTATGTTCTTATTTTTTTTTATTTGTGAAACAGGTTCCCCCATCTATTGGGTCATGCCTCAAATCATTGCTCCAGTCAGGTCCAAGTAGAGGCAAGGGTTGGGAGCCAGGAGCTCAGTCCCGACTTCCCACGTCACTGGCACAAACCCAACCAGTGGAAGCCCCACTGCTGCCTGCCAAGGTCTGCAGAGACAGAAAGCTGGGATCAGGAATGGGAGGCAGGAATCAGACCCAGGCCCAAGACGGGGTGGGGAAGCCTCAACACTCTCCAACTCTAGGCCAAGCACACCCCTGTCACGCAGATTCAGCTCTTATTTTCCCATGAACATCTGGATGCACCCTCATACATTTTTCAACATTGTCTTAGACCTAATACCCCAACTTCTGATTTCAAAAAAACGTATATACATGGAATTTACACAGATTTTATACTTACTATTTATATGTAAACACATGACAATGTAAACTAGACAATTTTTAAATATATACTCACATACATATTTTATTGATTATTTAACTTTAAGAATATATTCCGGAACATTAAAAAAAAAAAAAAAAGGGGAACCCATAGGCCCAGCTCTGTCAATCCAAAAAGAGAAAATTAGGCCAAAAAGGCAGAAGAACTCAAACTGGATCCATTTGGTCAAAGGCCTGTGGCAGCCTGTGCCCCGTGGGATCTGCGTGAGAACAGTGACGCAGGAGGTGCTGGGCTCAGTCGGTAGGGGGAAGCACCCCGGCCTTTGCTCGGACCCGTCTTGTCACCTGCGCATTGCTTGCCTCACTCTCAGCTCCTCCGCAAGAGGGACTCCGCGTCCAGGAGCCAGGCTGCCAGGTCCCTACCTGCAGCGAGTGTTGCCCGTCCTCGTGCTTTCTTCTCGCATCTTCAACTTTGCTTTGGTAGTTTTCAAACAGCCTCTGGGCTACATTCCTCAGGGCTGCTGCGCCTGCTTCTCTGGAAGCTTCCAGCTAGGAAACAAAATCAGCCTTCAGACAATGTCTCTGAGCCCCACGGCTTGCCCACTTACATGCCAGCCTTTCAGTACTGACGCCCACAAAAGCGCTGCAAGATGTGTCTTCTCGAAGGAGAACTGACACGAGGTAGGGGCATTAGAGGCAGCAAAACATAAATGTCCCAAGCCCTTCAAGAGTAGAAAGCAAAGAAGTCATCATGGGTTTGCCTTTCAGGAAATCAACTGCACATAAACCCAAAGAGGGAGATATAAAGAATGCAGTAATAGGGCCCTGCGGCGTGGCCTAGCGGCTAAAGTCTTCTCCTTGAATGCGCCGGGATCCCATATGGCCGCCGGTTCTAATCCCGGCAGCTCCACTGCCCATCCAGCTCCCTGCTTGTGGCCTGGGAAAGCAGTCAAAGACGGCCCAAAGCTTTGGGACCCTGCATTCATGTGGGATACCAGGAAGAACTTTCTGGATCCTGGCTTTGGATCGATGTAGCACCAGCTGTTGTGCTCACTTGGGGAGCAAATCATCAGATGGAAAATCTTCCTCTCTGTCTCTCCTCCTCTCTGTATATCTGACTTTGTAATAAATAAATAAATCTTTTTAAAAAAGAGAATGCAGTATTAGATTAATCCAATTCAACTATGAAGATTGCGATTAGTATTTATTAAATAAATAGGTTTTCAAAATCTGTTGTGATCTGAAATGTGTCATATGAGATCTGCCCTGTTAACCAATGTGTAGTGTACCAGTGTACGCTTGCGAGCTGTACACACGGCGTTGTGTCACGGGTCTCTGGGACAGATTTTTCTAGCATAATCAAGACCTTTGTAGGATTACTTCAATGATGAGAACAGTCTCCACAACAAACAGAAACAAACCTGACGTTTACTTTGTGAGACATAAGCACGCTTTTCCACATGCATACCACTTCCTGGGTGGGTGGGTGGGTGGGTGGGATGTCTCTCTGTCTGCAGACTCACCAGCACTCACAACCACGCTCTTACCACCGAGGCTCGAAACACAAAGTGTGCAACTTCACCCAGCAGCCATACCTTGATTTTTAACATTTCATTCTCTTTGTTCATTTCCAAGAGCTGCACATCTTTTCTTTTCACCTTTTCCCTGAGTACGTCCGTACTGCAGCCAGGGAGGTCCGTGTCCGAGGCAGAGCCGTTCTCCGTGCTGCCCTCGAGCTGGAATGGACGAACACGGGAATCACAGCGCTCACTGTGTCTGCCTGCGACACATCTGCACAGCAATAATGGCCACACACTCTCACAGATGCCAAAGCAAACTAGTCAGCACAAACAAAATAGCTTTGGAGTGTCAAATCCCCGTGGGGAACACAGTCCAAGTAGCTGGGCTCTGTATTTGCTCAAATATGTACAGGTCCTTGTATTAAAAGAGAAAGAACTATCGCTTTTATAACTCCTAGCTCCCAACATGCTGTTAAAATTTTCTAGGAAGTCAATAATATTCACAAGACAAGGTTTTTTACAGAAAAATTCTAACTTGCAGACATAAATACAATTGTTCCTATTGCATTACAGACTGGTAGCTTGCATAAGGCCTAGCAGATACAACACAGCTCAGTCAATGCTAATGATGCTTCTCCACACTCACTGAATATTGCATTTCTCATCAAGGACATCAGAACTGAAAATCACTGGCCATATAATTCTATGTACTCGAGTCCACTAAAATAACAAGTCAAGCATAAATTTCACTTGGAGTGTCTGGTGCAATAGCCTAGTGGCTTATTCTTTGCCTTGCATTCTCCAGGATCTCATATGGGCATCAGTTTGTATCCCAAATGCTCCACTTTCCATCCAGCTCCCTGCTTGTGGCCTGGGAAAGCAGTTGAGGATGGCCCAAAGCGTTGGGACTCTGCACCCACGTGGGAGACACAGAACAAGCTCCTGGCTCCTGGCTTTGGATCGGCTTAGTTCTGGCCGCTGTGGCCACTTGGGGAGTGAATTAGAGGACAGAAAATCTTTCTATTGTCTTCTCTCTGTATATCTGCCTTTCCAATAAAAATAAATAAATCTTTCAAATCAATCAATCAATCAATGAATCAATCAACTTTACCTAGAATATCAGAATTTGGGAGATGAAAAGTACATTAGAAATCACCCAATTTAACCCATCCATTTCACAGACTAAAAATAATCGAGGACCATTGCCCAAGGAAAGGCGGCTCATGGGAGATCCAATACCCCCGCCTGCGCATCGTTCATCTGCGCTTTTCCGTCTTTCGGTTTATCTCCTGGTAGAGAAATCATGATGGAAAAGACACGCCCCGCAGTTACAATAACAGCTTGGACTTGAATAAGCACCTATCATGTGCTAGGTTATAAGCAGGAGTAGTCACCACAATTTATATGGATGAAGAGTTTAAAGACGAGAGAATTTAATAAGACTAAAGTTATATCTTAAATTAACTGCCAGAAATAGAACGAGAACCCAAGTGTCTCACTGGAGTCCTCGCCACTGCGACAGCCTGACTGCATTTGGAGATACAGATGATAAAAGGAACACACCGCCCGTAGGTAGCATTCCTCCTTGCTGTAACTCCGCCGTGAGTTCACTACGTATGGTTCAACCCCCTGGGAATACGATCTCTCTGCACTGACCAAGTAAGGAGCTCTTTTTTTAACTTGCTAAAGGTTTCTCATTGAAGGGAAATTATTGGCTGTGGTTCATAATGGCAAAAATCCTAGAACAGGCCTTCTAGAACTTTCCTATGAAGTTGGTGATAGGTCTGGTTTGAAAATCACATTCTGAGCCAGGCTTCTGGAGTGGAGGTGTTAAATTGCTTTTCTAACCGGTCTCTGCTGACACCAAGGCTGATGCTGCTGTGCGGCAGCCACACCTTGAAGAGAACAAGACCCCAGGTTCTGAGCAGAACGTCTCTGTTAGGCTGGGTGAGCTCTGCTGTGGTGTGAGGTTGGGATGCAGATCTTCTACGGCTTGAGGTAGTTGAGGCAGGCACTTGGATGCAGATTCCATCCCGTTCCCTGTCAGGACCACCAACAATCCATTCATTGCTAGGCCAGTGGTCAGAGTTCAGGCCTCAGTGAACATAACCCATGAATATTTGAGAGTGGCCTGACAGCCTTTCTGGAAACTTTTCCTAACTTGCCCTCAGTGGCCTCTTTCCTTTCTTCTCTTCTCCTGGTTTTGCAGTCCCTCTGCTTGACCTCCTCGGATGGTTCCTCCTAGGAACACCCACACACTGGAAACCTCAAGTCAGGCCTCGCATCATTCTTCTTTTTCAGATTTTTTTTTTCTTAAAGATTTTTTTGTTTGTTTGTTTGAAAGGGACAGAGTGCCAGAGAGAGGAAAGGAGACAGAGATACTCCATCTATCAGTTCTCTCCTCAAATGCCTGCCACAGCCAGCAGTCATGAATTCCCTCCAGGAATCCTGTGTGGGTGACAGAAATCCAATTATTTGAATCTTCATTTGCTGGAACCCACGTGCATTAGCAGAAAGCTTGCCGGAAGGTGAAATAGCCAGAACTGGATGCAAGTGCCCCACCGGGGATGCAGGAGCCCCCAGAAGTGGCCTGCCTAACCACTAGGCCACTATGCCAGCTCCTTGTCTCTCTTTTCGTTCAACACCTGCGTGGTTATCTCCTCCAAGTCATAACCTTCCATAGCAACCATAAAGTGCCCAAAATACCTACCCAGTAACATAAACCTGGCAGTGGTGACCTTCGCTGTCAAGTCCAAACTCCTGTGTCCAGACACTCATTTATTAAAAGACTAACACATAATTCAAAATAGCGCAAACTGAGAGTTCAACTTTTTCCCATCATCCCCACACATAACCTTCTCCTACTATTTGATGGCTCTTAACTTGAGAAATGCAGAAAATTGGTTGTGTTAACTGGTAGTGGGGGATGGACAGGGAACACTAAGTTTATGCTTTGATGTACTCTGGCCTTGCACAGAGCAGATCGCATTTACGACTTACACTAGGATTACATGAAGAACTTGGCATAACCTAGACAAGTCAAAATGCTGATGCCCAGACCTTAGGTCTATGAGGGTATTCCAGAAAGTTCATGGAAAATGAAATAAAAAGTAAAATTTATTTTGGTGCAAAGTAAATTTGCAATGCATGCACCTGAGTGGTTCGCCAAAGATCTGTGGAAACACATAACTATGAAAAAAAGGATAATCACATCTCAAAATTGTTTTACACCAAAGTGAAATATTTACTGCAGCAAATAAATTATTTTGCACAAAAATAAAATCTTTTCCTCTTTCCATGATCATTTTGAAATGTCCTTGTTAAGGCCCATGTGACACTAACAGCCAATGCCTTTATTTACCTTTGTGATGTATTCTGCCTGGGCCAATATCTTCCCACACACTTTAGATAAGTAATCACAATTTAAAATATTCAGGTAAGATCTTATCCAATCTGTTCTTCTGAATTATTTTTGCGGTAAAACATTTCATGAATATAATCATTGACATCTTGATTGGTGCAAAATAATCTCCAGTTCATTGTTTAGAACTCTCAAAAATAATAATTACCAAAAAGTGACTTCAATAACATTTTTATGGTTTTGCGCAAATGTTCTTCAAGAATACAAGTAGAAGATGGTGATGAATCTGTTACCTTTGCATTCAGTGTGTGATTCTCACTGCTAGCTCCTACTTCCTCTTTAAACATTTGATTCCGAATCTTTTCCAGTGTAGTCCGAATCTACAGGAAGAAATCACTGGTTTCAAATACAGTTAGTATCAAATGCTATTTGTCTCTCTGCTAAATAAAAGTACTTGATTTGTCTGGAAACCAGTACATATATTCTGATGTCAGATATAAATAGCTGTAATAAAACCAATATGCATTTAGGCTGACATTGTTTAGATTACTGAAAATAAACCTTTGATCTTTATAATACTTTAAAGAAAACCTTAAAATACAATCACTTAACAGAATAGAATATTACAAGCTAATTATCATTGAGTAATTAGAACATAATACAACATAGTTAGCCCTATTTTGTCCATAGATATAGTAATTTAGTAGTAATTTACTGTTTAGTAATTACCATAAAACAATTACTATTTAGTAATCACTGCAAAATAATTACAATCTAGCAATTACTACAAAATAATTGCTAACTAGTAATTACCACAAAATAATTGCTATTAAGTACTACAGAATAATTAGTAAGAGGAGAGCATAAAATTTTATGCATGAAATATATGCTCCATGTCTTGGTGACCTATGGAAAGCACTCTGGAAAGATTTAATTAATCACCATAAACAAGTTATGAGCTATGGATGTCAGAATTTATCCTTGTGTTCTAACAAACAATCAACATGATGAAAATATGTGCTGTCAGCATTCCTTATCATCTTGGATTTTCATAGGACTTCAGACTTTTAAGGAAGTAACATACCAGCATGCAGTCCTTGGCAATAGTTCCACTGGGTTGTAAAAAAGGGCAAGGATGCAAGAGGCACCTGCTCAGCAGGAAACACAGCCATCCACTTGAGAACACAGCATCAGCCCCAGGGAACACCATAAAACCGCAAAAAAGGCCATGCTGACCAATGTGGCATGAATTAAGTGCTGCTTGGTGTTCGGAACCCTCTTTCCGATCACTCGAGTTCAGTGAGGGAAGAGCATTTCATTCTAGGTGCAAAACATGCTCAGATCCGCAAGAGGTATGACTAACCATGTTTACATCTCAGCCATCAAGGCTGCCCTTGATCAAAGGAGTGTTCTGTGGTGAAGACGACCAAATATACCAATGGGTTCCAGAATTCATCTGCTTTAAAATGTAATTGACAAGCAGAAAGGGGAAACGAGAGAACCTCTTCCTTCTGCTGGTTCACTCCCCCCAAAACCCATACCAGCTGGAGCTAACCAGGCCCAAACCAGGAGCCAGGAACTCCACCTGGGTCTCCCACGTGGCTGGGTAGGGAACCACGTGCATGAGCCATAATCTGCTGCCTCTGTGTGCGTGCTTTAGCAGGAAGCACGCCAGCTAGCAGAGCTGGAATTCAAACTAGGCACTTGCGTTTGGGGGACAGGTGTCCCAAGTATTGCCTTAACTAAGTATGTCACTATACTTTCTACAGTTTATCTTGGCTACTCACACCCTGGCGCCAGCATGTTGGAGCAGCCTGCAGTGCTGGCATCCCCTACAAGCTCTGCTTTGTGTCCCAGCTGCTTCACTTTCGATTCAGCTCCCTGTTATTGGCCGTGGGCCCCTGCACCTGCCTACACAGGAGAAAGCTCCTCGCTCTCAGTTTCAGACTAGCCCAGCTCTGGCAACTAAGATTATTTGGGGGAGTGAACCAGCATATGGAAGATCTCTCTCCTCTCTCCCTCTCTCTGTAACTCTTTAAACTAAATAAATCTTTTAAAAAGCAACCTCGTGGGCCCAGCATGCTAACCTTGTAGCTAAAGTCCTTGCTTTGCACACACACCGGGATCCCATATGGGTGTCAGTTCATATCCAGGTTGCCCTGCTTCCCATCTAACTCCCTGTTTGTGGCTTAGGAAGGCAGTTGAGGACGGCCCAAAGCTTTGGGAGCCTGCACCCACATGGGAAACCTGGAGGAAGCTCCTGGCTCCTGTCTTTGGATCAGCTCAGTTCCAGCTGATGTGACCACTTGGGGAGTGAATCAGCACAGAGAAGATGTTCTCTGTCTCTCCTCTCTCTCTCTGTATATATATTTTTTCCAATATATATTTTATATATATATAATATTTAAATATATATATTTCCTATGTATACATTTCCAATATGAATACATAAATCTTTAAAAAAAAAACATTGTGCTAAACATACCTTTTTCACATATTCTGTTTCTTCAATAATGTGAGCTGATGTGGAATCATACCAGGCCGAATTCTCTTCTGTCTTGCCCTTTGGGAAGACTTCCGTGGTCACCGTTACCGCTGTCATTGTGAATCCTAGCATCAGAAAAACATACATCCATTTAGCAGACCAGACTTTATCTTGCATGATCATTTGTCACATAAACTTGAAGAAGTTATTGCTGTAGTCAAATACAATAGCAAAATTATAAATCACTAGTCTATATTTGTAAATTCAACAACCAATTTAATTTAAAAGCAATACCACCTAAAACCATCATTAATTAGAATTTTTTAAATTAAACAATTCAACAAAAAATATGTAAACTTTCTCCTTTTATTGAACATCTTCTTAGACAATAAAACCTCAAGGGAAGTTTTTATAAATTCCTTCTATAACATTGAAAAGAATTTCTAGATTAACAAGGCTATAACTTGTAGGTTCTTAGGAAATAATATGTCTAAGCAATATCTTGAACCAAAGCTAACAATAGCAGAGGAAAGTTTAGTGAAAAACTTATTAACGTAGCAGAGTTCATTATTAGCCTTAATGTAGCTAAAAATGGTCATTAATTGTCTCAGGAAACCCATAGTCATTTACACTATACATGTTATTTGAATCATGACTTTCTGGAGACTAGAAAAGAGCTGACATTACAGGATTTTTATAGTTTTGGTAGCTATGATAATATAATTATAATATTCTTAGAAAATGTTTGATCTATTACTGACACATATTGAAACAGTTCCAGGTGAAATGAGAATACATTAGGACCTGCTTTCAGACAGCAGAGCAGGCAGGATGTGCCAGACACAGTGGTCAGGTTGTTGCTCCCACCCACACTGGGGTTCCTGGGTTCAAATCCTTGCTTTTCTGCCAAGTCCAGTGTCATGATCATGGGCACCTGCGAGGCGGCCTGGAAGGTGAATGACGTACTTCCCTGCCCTCCACCAGGACGCCCCGGACTGAATTCCAGGTGTTTGGCTTAATTGCAGCTCTGCCCGGGTTGTTGAGGTAGTTCAGAGTGAACCAATGGACAGGCAACTTTTCCTTATCTCTCTTTCAAATAATTTTTCTTAAAAATTGGGAGGAGTGAGTGGAGACGGAGAAGAAATAAATTTAGCAAAATATAGATAATCATTAAAGTTGTGTGATGAGCAAATGTATTCACTCTACTCTTCCAACATTTGACATTTCTATGGGGAAAAATTAGGGAAAAAAAAAACAACTATAATGAAATATGAGATAGGATTGTTCGTTCCATTTCACCAGTAAGAAAACTTGGACTCCCATCTTGATCTAGCAACAACCTATTTTTACTAAAAACAGAAAGAAATTTTGTATTGCTTGTGGGAATACCATAAGTCCTGCCTTTATCCTTTAATCTTCAATGAAACTGACAGGGCTTGCCAAGAGTTTCCCATTTTATTATAGAATCCTCCTAGCGGCTATGCTTCTATTTTTCTTTGCTGAAGATGGCTTGGCAGCAGCAACTAAACAAGTCAGCTTGTGCAAAATGAAAGCGGAAATACTTCTTCTCTTGGTCACTGGATGTTCCTTCCCAGATTATGGTCTTGATCCTAAAACAATGCTTTGATGCTAGAAGTGAAAGAAGCCATGGAGACAATATGTAACATGGTTGGGAACCAGAAGGAGGGAGTTGGTGCCAGGGGAGAGGTCAACAAACCACAGCCCATGTGGCAATCTGCCTTCTGACCTGCTGTGCAGTTTCTGAATCAAGAAAGGTTTTCATATTTTAAGATATATAAATACATGTACTTTCTGGAAGGCACACTAGAGGGGAGAGAGAAAAAAAGTTAACTTCCTTCCACTGACTCACTCCCTTAATGCTTATGACACTCAATATAGGACCAGGCTAAAGCCAGCTACCAAGAAATCCAGAAATCCACCAGGTGTCCCACATGGTGGCAAGGACTCCAGTACTTGAGCCAGTGTCTACTGCCACCCACAATGTGCGTTAGTCGGAAGGAAGTTGGAAGCAGAGGTAGGACTGGAGCCCAGGCATTCTGATAAAGACGGAGTCTTTTAAGTAGCAACTTACCTTAGGGCCCAACAGCACCTGCCTGCGTTCTTACGCTTCTGAATCGTTGGAGGGGAGAATCTCAGAAGGACGGCATGTTTATCAGTTGTGCTATGAATACAGTGTTTTGCCAAGCTTTGTGTTAAACCTTTGTCCAATGGTCAAGAATGATAACACAACGTGACTAGTTTCAAATGTACTACATATGAATGCAAATTTTTCAATTAAAAAAGTTTCTTGTTTGGGCTCTTAAATTGAAACCTAAAATTTTCATTTTTACTATCTGTTTTTACATTAAAAACGAACATGACGTGTTGGCCCAGTTTTGATTTCAAAGCTCTTCTGCACAAAAAAATGGATGTATCTTCTAACTCGATTGTATCCTCACAGTGTTTGTGAAGCTTTACTGTAACACTGCCCTGGTCATTTATCTGTCTGGACACGGTTCATGGTGTTTGGCCAGAGTTGAGCTGTTGCAACAGAGAAAAGCCATGGCAAACAAAGTGACAACCTCACCCTTCCAGGTGACAGCAGTGATGGGAACAGACCTAGTTAAGTTTTTCCTTAGATTCAATCTTCGTTGAGCTGCAGTTTCATCTTATAGGTCTACTTTTGTTTTTCTTTTTAGTATGTTTTGCATTGTACACACCGACAGGAATGAACCCCCTTTAGAACAAATCCCACGGCATCCTCAGCATGTTTCTGAACTTGAAAATTCTGTTGACCTCATCTCAGAAATACTAAACTGTACTCCATGGTGGCCCTTTTAGTCCTGCAATTGAGGAACACTGCCACACAAGGATAACTCAAAAATTCTACATCTTCTAATGCTTGTTAAGCCACCTAAACCCAGTTAAATAAAATCTTAGCTTCACATATCTGTAGAATGGGCACACTAACAGAGTTGTGAAAAGGAGGTTTAAAACACAGAAACTGTTGGTCTCCCACAGCACCCATGAACAGTTTCTATTAACACTTTGGCTTATGTCTGATTTTATAAATTACCAGGAAAAGCAAGCAGCCAATACAAGGCGACGTGGTTCATGCCTATCTGTTGGCAGTGAAATTCAATTCCATTGTTCTCATTGGTTCACAAAGCTTTTTTGCCCACAGTCCTTGATTTGTATGAGAAACCCCAAGAGGAACATAAGACAGCAAAATCCAAATTGCCATATGGCATTACCATCCTGGGGAAAACCCAGGCGAGCATTTATTCCAGCCAGAAATAGATTAGGCAGATAAAATTTTCAGAATAAAATACAATCAGTTAATTAAAGTGAAGAAAGACTTTTATTTGTTTTACGCTGGAACGGATTGAAGACAGCTTACAAGTGGCACCATGCCAAGAGGGCTTATTTCTCAGACTTGGCTTTGCAAACTGGCTCCCAGAAAGGGGGCGGTCCAGCACACAGAATTCTGTCACCTGAACTTTGACAAAACAGGCTCTGCTTTGTTCCATCAAACTCTGAATTTTTCCATGAGGCCAGAAAGAGGTTCCACCACTCAAAGAGTTAGAGGCAACCTATGTTCTCAGCCTCCTTCCGCCACCGAGATGCTGTGTGATCTTGGACAAATCCCTTAACTGCTCTGTGCCTTAGCAGGAAAAAATGCAATGGGTCGTAATTATTAACAATAATAATGAGCATGAGGTTGTTCAAGCATTTAGCAAGGCAATGCATAGTAAATGAGTTGTACATGTTGGTCTAATCAGTAAGTAAAATATGAGATAATTATCTACAATTAATTTTGACAAGCAATCTGATTGTTTTGCTTCCCTGAAGGGGAAGAACCAGGTAATATTTTAAGCAGTCTACATCTGAGAGGGGCTACAGAGGAAAATCTGCTTGGGAAGATGTTGAGACGATGAAGTCTGACACTGGCACTTTAATGCTAATACATCAGCAACCTGTCAGTATCCTCGACCAACAACTTTGACATTTAGTGGAAGGCTTACAATCTACACAGCCTATGTACATAACTGTAAACTGTAATCCATGTGCTAAACTAACAGATCACTGGACACTTAGGTCTACTATTCCATACAATGACATGCAAATAGCTGAACAAACATGTGACAGATACATGCAAGGCATTGTTACAGGTGTGATGATGCGGTAGCCCCAAGCAAGATCCTGGTCATGGCAGATGTAAGGTCCTGCTGCCACATGTAAAACTAGAAACCCCCAAAAGCAGAGGCAGTCCATGCCGATCAGGTAACAATCTTTTATACCCAAGTGAAATTCAATTCCACTTCTCTCACTCACCCATTAGCCTGTGGCTTAATAAGACTGACAGCCTTACAGAAAGGGGAAACTTGAGGAGAGATGACCATACAAGAACCACACCAGGTCAGGATGAAGGCAGAGATGACAGTGGTCCTTGTGTGTGCCACAAAGACCAAAACTGGCAGCCAGTGCCAAGGAGTCATGGAGAGTGCTGGCACAGACTCCCCGTCACTGCCCTCAGGAGGAACCAAGGGCAGACACATCGATCTGTGTGCTGACTTGTAGAACTGGGAGGTGACACATTTCTGTATTTACTCCACAGGGCTTCCGGTGACTGGTTAGAGCTGCCTTCAGAAATGAACACAGGCACTGGGTACAGCCTGGCAACCCTACCATGGGTGTTTCCTTTCTTAACCCTTGACTCATTCAGCCCTATGGTCAGTGTTTATTGAATACTCTTGGCAGGTGCTGAGGCTGCAGCAGTGAACCAAGAGACTTTGCATAGAGAAAAAGATGCACGCTAAATAAATAAACAAGTATGGGAAACAATGGCAGTGCCCTGAAGAAAAGTCACCCGCAGGACAGGACAAAAGGAGGTACCATTTTGGACGACTGCTCCTGGAAGCCACTCTGAGGGTATGGCACTTGAGGAGGATGCGAATGAAACAAGGTGCAAGGCTCTTGTGCCTGCAAGAAGAGGGCTCCGGGCACAGGGAGAGCAAGAGCAGAGCTGGTATTTGCTTCAAGTAGCATTCTAAGAGCCATGTATCAGGCAATGTCACGCATCATTCTCTCTAATATTGCAGAGCTTTTCTTTGCACATAGACTTAAACTTGTTGTTTTTCTAAGGCGTGGTCTCTTTGGGTATGTTAAAGCAGATTTAGTTCTGGCTGACCTGACCCCAAACACTGAAGGAAAGGCAGAACACAGCAAACTTTGTAACACTGTCTCATGCTGCAAGGAAAGCTCAGGAAAGGGGCAATGAAGCCAAATGGTCTCAACACTCTACTGCTGGTCCAGACTGAAGCTTCCCAGGCAGGTCCTGGGTAGCTCTGGGCCACCCAGTGCGTCAACCTCCAGCCTGCAGACACGGACTCACCATCATGTGAATACTACCAGCCTCACTGCTCCTCACTGCCTGGAGCAGGAGCAGAAGCACAAGAGTTTTCTCAGCAGGCTGGGTGCTCCCACAGGAAATGCCACTCAGACCAGACCACCAGGCTTATTGATGCTAGAGGTGATAAAACCCGTCACCATGCAGGAAAGGGGAGTCTGACACTGAGTTATCATGCGCAGTGGCAGCAATGCCAGCGCTGGTCCCCATAGACCTCTGGACATATCTGAACACGCTGATCCACTCTTCCTGCTGCCCAGGCTGGCAAGTACAGCACACTGGGTCCTGACACTGCTTTCCAACTTTCCTTTCTGTTAAGGGAGTTGCTTCACATCCTCCTACCCAGTGAGCCAGCACCAGGGCTCAGTGTGTGACCCAAGAGCTCGCACTGGTTCTGTGCTTTCTGTATTTTCAGTTTGTATTTTTGTTTCTTCTTTCTGACCACTATCACACAGAGTTTAGGTAGCAGAAACTGCAAAAGCACTTCCAACAAAAGTACGATGAGAAGTGAACTCACGAGGCTCCAACCTCTTGAAGAGAATGACCATGCCCCGAATACTGATCAGCACACCTGTTCTGCAGCTGCCTTATACAGCACAATGGTGACATCCAGTGTCAGCTGGCTAAATCTCAGGTGACTATACCTGAAACTCATGCCCAATATACCGGATATGCATGCTAACACTGACCTAACCCAACGTCGGTTTCCAAGTGATAATCTTGTCATTTTCTTAAGCAGAAACACACACATATAACAACATTATATAAATAATACATATGTGTATTAAAAGACTTAGATATGAAACAAAATATTCTTGGAAGAAAAAGGATGCAAACATTGGCACAAGCACAAACACATATATACTATCCACAAGCTCCATGCAATTTATCAAAAAGTTATTCTTCATCTATTCTCAACATTGTCATTATGATATTGTGCTACAGTTATTATCTTCAGCACATCTACAAATGTAACTAACTGTTACTAGAAAGCTCAGTGGGTTCTTTCCTTAGCTTAGTACAGAAATAAAAAGTATCACTTGCAAAGTAACAAGTTGAATGTAGAAAGAAGAGAGAAGGAGAAAGGACCCCTGGGAGAGGACCAGGAGGTAGGCTACTTCTTAAAATGAGAGAAGGAGAGACATCAAAGGCTTTCAGAAGGATTGGGGGATTTTAAGTGTTGCCTGACCCCTCCTTGTCTGGGCAGGAACCTGCAGGCAAGTTGTTCCCCATTGGTGGTCTCTCAACCAGTCAGGAAATGGCTGGGCAGTTCTTGTGCCACCCACTTAAAGATGTGCCCAAGACTTCAGCAGGCTTGGAGGGTCTCAGTACCCACGACACAGTGCGTGTAAATCTTCAGGATGATAGATTGACTTCATCTTTTGAGAACAAGTGGTTTGACCTCATGATTAGATATCTATGAAATGAAATCATCTGTCTTCATAATTCACCAGCATAATTTGAAAAAGAGGAGCATGTCAAGGACACGGATCACACACTTCATGCTATTTACTCTTCTTTCCCAACTTGAAGGAAAGAAAAAAGAAACTTGATTGGGATAACAAATTCCTCAACATTTTTTTAAAAAGTTATTGCTTAAATCAGTGTAAACTCATCTAGTTTCAGGCACGGTCAGAACTGATGGATGGTCATGGATGTGGTCCCTGAGCTCCAGTATTGGTCCAGCTCTAGGATGTCCTGAAGGACTTGAAGACTGAATAGACCGCATGAGGACAGACATGTGGCAAACACCACTGAGCTGGAATCGTCTGTGGCGACTCGAGCCCTGAGCAATACATGCTCCATAAACACCGGGTCAGTGAATGAGAAAACAGACCCACAAAATCACAGATGCACCATATAAGCTCTGACGCGACAAACACACACACACATACTTTTATTTTCCAAACACATGTATGTGGTTGTTTCTGTGCTTAGTAAAATGTGAACTAATTTTAAAATGTCATGAAATTCAGGGTAATATTTTCCATTATGAAATGGTTTCACTCACTGAATGAACATACAATTTTGATACAAGTGCCTCAATTCATAAGGTATGAAACTACTCCCCAAGACACTGAAAATCCCTCTCAAAGCTTCATTTTTTTCTTTGGAAGTTATTTTTCCCTAAGAAAAGTACAACTCACTTTTCACCTTTGGCCAAAATTTATTTTACAGCTCAAGTCTAGGTGGAACATATTGTAAACAAACAAACAAAAAAGCTCAGGATTAATATGCACATTATTAATCCACAAAATCACATCTGAATTTGTGTGAAATGCCTCTTTGTCCTTTGAACAGGTTTTGTTTGGTAAACACCAAAGGATAAGAAGTTTAAGAGGCTTGTCTAGTTCCCAGGTGCTAGAACCTGTTCTCAGGATACCCCTTACCTCGAGCAAAGATTAAAACTGTCAGGCGTCTTCCCTCTCCAGCCGCGGGCGTGGGGGAGCAGAGGACGGCGGCCATGCACAGCTAAACAAGAGCAGCCTTTGTGCCTGGAGAACACCTGACACTCCGGCCCAGCTCAGCTTTCTGGGAAAGCAGACTCCTGCATATTTAATACAGCAGGTAAAATCAAAAGGGCACATTATCTTTTCCTTATTCCAATACAGGATAATTCCCTTTTGTATTCTAATGCTCACTGCATTCTATACACTTGTATGCTAAAAAAGATAAATAAATAAATACATGATGAAATTGGGATTCCTGAAATAAAACAACTGCTCCTCAATGGTGAGCAGCACAGCTTTGTTTACCGTCAGGCCTGATTTTGCCAGATCTGATCCTTACATGTGTTTTCTTTCTTTTTTTGCTTTTTGAAGGAAAAACGAAGAGGGTGCCGGGAGCTTTGGCAGCTATACAATCTCCAGATTTAAAAGCCACATCTCTACAGGTGCACTCTCTCTCAGTAAGACAACACTGCTCCCTTGCAAAGCTGGCAGGCCTCTAACAGCCAGCTTCAAAATCCCATAGAGTCCCTCAACACCAACAGCAGAAAACTGTCCCAAGGCGGCCGGCTGTCTCAGCTCATTACACTGGGCAAGACAACCCCCTTCATTCAATTTGCTCTAAAAATTCTGGGCGCAGGGACCTGTTCAGGCTGGAGTGGGATGACAGCTTTTTCCTGAGGATTCTTTTCCAAGACTCCTAAAATCAGCAGGCAGGCATCATGGGGAGCCACTCAGCTCAAACAGGAAGGTGAAAGTATAAAATACCAACCCTGCCTAAGGGATCGTGTAATGAGCAGATAAATAAATCATCAGGTGTGCGCCAAGCGAAGGACAGCAACTTTCTCGTAGAGAGGCGAGTCATTAACTTCACGTCCCAGGAATCCAATCTCCAAATTGGAATTTACAGCGAGGAATATGCTAAAGGACCCACAACCGGAAATAACCTGGGAACACTGAGCTCCGCAAGAGAAACCCCGCTTCCAGGGGCACCTGCACACCCACTCACCTGGCGCACGCCGCGGTCGCCAGGGATCACCTACCCGGGAGGACGCTTGGCCAGCGTGGGGTCCCAGCGCTGCTCCACCCCGGGCACTCAGCCTAGGTGTCAGAGTCGATTCTCAGAAAGCTGCAGGAGGGAACTCCGCCCTGCGGGGCGAGCCCAGGGCAGAGTTCGGACTCCGGGGAGGAGCCTCGTCTCCTGTTGCACCCGGGACGCGCACGCCCTGTGCACAAACCCACATCTGATTGCTGCTTTCTCCGGAAGTTCTATTGTTACCCCAAATTCATGATTCTTTACTTGATTTGTCTGTATTAATTTTTTACATTAGAATAGTTTGAAATCTTTCCCTTCAAATTTGCAAGGATCACACAATTTCCAGTAGGTTTCTGCCAGTGTTCTCTAATAGCCACATCTTATTAACCTCGGTACACTAATAAAACTGAGAAATTAACAAAGAGCCGTATCTGCCACTGAACGCCAGGCTTCGGGCTGACTTTTCTGCTGACTTCTTTCTAGATAGCACCTGCCTATGCCACGCTGTGTCGCTGCGTTCGGTTTTCTGCATTTCCGGGTGATGCCGTTCTAGCCTCTTCTTCACTCACATGGCTTTGGAAGATTCTGTTGAAGTGTTTTTGAGAGTCCTTCATTTGGTTTAGTCTGACATGCTTCTCAGTGCAGTGACTGCGGGGTTTGGCAGGGCTGGGGGAAGCACAAGGATGAGCTCTTGTTCTTCTCCGGGAGTAGGACTTCTTTGCAGCCTTGACCCTGAGCCCTTGGATAAGGGATTGCTCCACTGCAAAGTTAACTGTTTGCCTCTTTTCCCTAACTTCTTCTGATGGGGGTCATTCATTTCGGCCCAGTCTCAGGAGAAGGATGGGTTATTTTCCACTCTGAAATTATGGTGTGTCTCCTAGTATGTTATTATTTGGAATTATTCCCTAAGGAAAGTTTTTCCCCTCTCCTGTCACTGATGCATCTATTCAGTTACATTTGCATATTCGTATGAATTCGTGCATATTAATTTTATCCTCCGGGCTATAATTCAATGCTCTGTTACTTAGATTATTGCTCACCTTGTCCCAAATTTGACCACTGGGCAGTCTTGCAGGTTGGTCACTATGAAGGTTCCTAAACATTCAGGGCTTTAGACAACAAGTACTTCTGCCACCTCTCCTGGGTTTAGCCTATTTGAAAACTGCAGCCCGAATATTTCAAGGCACACAACTTTTCAGATTTTTTTCTGGGAATCTACTACCACAGCCAGAGATTTTTTTTTTATTGTTTTTTCTCACCTAAGTTACTTGTGGATTGCAGCCCAGTTTGGAGAAGTGCGAGTTGATGATTCTTGGGTAATATTGTGCTAATTAATCCTTGCAATTTTATTGAATAAATATACGTATATGTATAGACAAATCATGTTCCACATTTAGCTGTGGGAGTTTATCACTAGTCTAAACATCGAAGAAATCCAGCTGCTGGAACGCTGCGGTTGCTGGCCGTTTGCCTTTTCAAATCGGTCCCATAAACACATTTCCTCCTTCTTGGCTTGGATCGTGTCCGTTGGTTCTACCTCCCTCTCTTTCTGGACATTATTCTTCTCCAAGAGGGAAATCAACTTCTCTGCTGACATGCTTATGACAGGAAAACAACATGGTGGTCTGATATGTACTCCAGCACCACAGAGAAAAAAATGGTTCCATTTTGTCTTTGAACTATTAAGAAAAAACTACTAGTCATAGTAAAAATCAAAGAAAAATATTTTTGTTTAAGTCTTTACAGATATTCTGTGGACGGTTTCCTCCAAAAATTCATTGGTGGAAGCTGGATTCCCACACGTGATGATATTTTTAAATGAAGTCTATGCTAGGAAATCACAGTAGGAAAATGAAGACCCTCATGGGCGGATGTGGATATGACCTTCGGTTTCTCTTTTCATGACTGCACATCCACAAATCACCTAAAATTTTACAAAGCTGCCTCCCTTCACATTTTCACATTTTACCTAGTATTATATTTTAAAGAATGTGGAATGACTTTGGTTTGGTCTGAGAGAGGTCAGGCTGAGTTCAGTCGAGATTGGTTGGACACTAAGACATTGCCAATCGATGTTTGGCACCCCTACAGAACAAATCCCTGTTCCTTTACCCGCAGGTGGAATTCACTAAACCTGGAATGGATTTAGGGTACAGGATAAAATAGCAGATACTGTCTTCCTCCTAGGGCACAGTACAAAAATATCATCCATATTCAAAGTGGACTTGACCACAAATGTGATGCCCAGCCTTGTGACATTTGAAGCTTCTCACTTGTGATGTTCAGACTCAGGCTTACGGTTTTGATCACTTTATTTTTGTGTGGATGTAATTTATAATGCAATATTTTCTATGTCATTCAAACTTCCAATAGTAGGCATAGACAAATCCTTTTTTAAAAACACCTCATTGCCGTCAATTAGTTAGCTAAGTGTAGGGAAACCTATCTAAGCTCCCCAGTTTTGTGGGATGTCCTATTTAGGGCTTCCTTTGAAATGTTTGATACATTGAACTTGGTATTGTATTATGACTGACTGCTATAGCAACCAGCCATACACCTGGTTGTTAAAACAATACAAGGCAATCATCATCACGTTATGTCGTCTGACGTAATGGTGACTTCTGTCAGTGTAAACACACGACCATGTTCCCTGATGGATGCTTCAGGAGAGAACTGTTCCCTTGCCTTTTGTAGCATTTTCCTGTTTGCTGACCTCTTTCTCTGCATTTAAAACAAATAGTATCCTCTCTCTGACACTGACTAGCTCTCTTTTACTTACAATGATTTTTGTGACTACACTAAGCCAACTGGATAACTCACCATGACTGTTCCGTCTATGACTCTCAACTTCACCACACCTACAGAGTCACTAGGCATGTAAGATAGCCACCAATTTCAGCTTTAGAACGTGAGCATCATTGGGGCCCGTTGCTACTGGTGTGAATTAGGTCTGGTTATTAATATTCCCACATTTAGCACATAAATTCAGACAGCTTTGCATAATTGTGCAAAAGGCATGTTCCCATTACTTTCTGAGTGATCCCTCCATCTGCCTTTCTCCTTCATCTTCTCACTTTCCCATGAAGCACTCCTGTGACACCCTAAGGAATACCTGGCATTAGAAAAATCCTTTATGTCCTTAGTTCTCCCCTATTCCCGCAGGTCTCCTAGTCTTTGTGGTACTTCTTGGAAGAACAGAGTATGAACGTGGTCATTACCACATTCATTTGACAGAAGTTAGCTCTCTGGGACCCCCAGATCTTGCACATTAAGCTGTAATTTCACACTTTGACTGCTGGAGAAAATACAGTGCCCCAAGTATATTTTAAACACCTGGAAGAGCAATCCCTCCACTCTATGCCAACCCTTGTGTTGAGGGTAAGACTCCATTTTTATCATTGTGTCTTACATAAACACTTTAAATTACTTTTTTTTTTTAAAGATTTATTTTTACTATTTTTTCATTGGAAAGGCAGATATACAGAGAGGAGAGACAGAGAGGAAGATCTTCTGTCCGATGATTCACTCCCCAAGTGAGCGCAACGGGCCGATACTATGCCGATCCGAAGCCAGGAGCCTCCTCCGGGTCTCCCACGCGGGTGCAGGTTCCCAAAGCTTTGGGCCGTCCTCGACTGCCTTCCCAGGCCACAGGCAGGGAGCTGGAAGGGAAGCGGGGCTGCCGGGATTAGAACCGGCGCCCACATGGGATCCAGGGCATGCAAGGCGAGGACCTTTAACCACTTGTGCCACCGCGCCGGGCCCTTAAATTACTATCTTACACATACACATGGTAGTAACTATAAATACAGTTACACAATAAATTAAAATATGCTTGAGCAACAAATCATTGCTGAGTTATAGTAGAACCAGTAAGTACTGGAAGATTAGGAGACAATTAATATTGGTTCATGTGTTAGGGAAGGCCTCAAGTGGAGGTAGAATTGAAGTTGGACCTTGAGTATTGTGATTCTAGGAGAGCATGTTTCAGTATAATTATCTTACTATTGTGGGAAGCCTTTCAAGGTCACGCAGAGAAAAAGGCACAAAGCAAGCTAACATTCAGACAACGTGGGAAATCACCCAACAGATCAGTACAGCTTGGCCATAGGAGATTAACATGAGTTAGCAATAGGAGCAAACTTGTTGTTCACGTATGCTAAGAAAGAAAGAAAAATCATTGTGAGAATTGAAACTCCTGTTGTTGTGAGTTCAATGACAAAACTCTGAGCAAACATTTGTGAACAATATATGAGCATCTCCTTATATACACAGTTTGTTTTCCTATAATGGACACAGAAACCATGACATAACCAAAAGTATTATTCAAAATATGTGCCTACTGGTTGAGCAGAGAGGCCAACCAATCAGAAATAATGCCAATTGTAATAGTCAACCCTTAGCATGGAGCCAATATGCATCTGTGGAAAATAAGTCATGGATAGTATCACATAAAAGTTTAGCTCTCTTGGACCCAGCATGATAGCCTTCTGACTAAATCCTCACCTTGGATCCCATATGGGCACTAGATCGTGTCCCAGCTGCTCCATTTACCATCCATATCCCTGCTTGTGGCCTGGGAAAGCAGTGGAGGTTGGCCCAAAATCTTGGGACCCTGCACTCGCGTAGGAGACCCAGAGGAGACTCAGAGTGCCTGGCTTCAGATTGTCTCGGCTGCAGCTGTTGAGGCCGCTTGGGGAGTGAATCAGTGAATGGAAGCTCTTTCCCTCTGTTTCTCCTTCTCTCTGTATATCTGACTTTCCAACAAAGTAACAAATAAATTTTTAAGAGAAAAAAAGCTATAGCCTTCTTAGCAAAACTCTCCTTCCAGAAATGCCTTTCAAACCACCCCCATGGACTGAATAAATTGTCATCTCTCTAGGCTCTTTGTAGCAGATGAATTTACTTCACTCCATTTTATCAATAGCTGCAGCCATAATTGTCTTTTCCCTGAGAAGGCTGACCATTCTCAGAAAGGTGTAGAAAGGTGACAA